CCTTAAAACAGGAAAAGAACTCGTCTACCGCCATGGCTTCCCCTCCATTCGCCTTGGGACACGCGCTAGCACAGGCCAACAGAATCTTCCATGCATTGGGCATCAATTGCCCCGGCGCTACCTCCAGACGGTTCAGTACGTCAACCACCACTTGGGGCAGTGGCAACCTCAACCCACCTTTTAGCGCCTCCTCGTAAAGGGAAAACTCCCCTGGCCTGGCATCAGACGACCTTTCCCTTGATGTTGGCAGCAATAACTCCACCTCAGCCGGAATCTGGTATTTTTCCCTGATAGCGTCCAAATTCGCCGCAGTAATTGTGGATTTGTCAGCCTTAGTGTGCCACTGATCCGGCGCTGCTAGCTCCTCTGCATCATCGTCTCTCAGAGGGTCCACCCTCACATTCACCACTTCTTCTTGTGCCATTTCTAGGGTTTGCTTCCGAATCACTTCTGACGCAGGAGCAAGGAAGTTGAGAAAATGTTACACAGGTGTGTCGTGCGCAATGAAGGAATTAACACTTGAGTATTTTGAGTTTTTGTAAAAAGGTAGGTGAAACAAATTATACCAAAAACCCACGGTTTACCCGTATTCCATGGATCCACATTAATTTTCGCCCGTTTAAAAACCTTTCAAATCAACCGCCAAAACCGCCTTTTCAAAACCCCCTTGTGACCTATCGTTTCATTTCTGCTCCAACGCTTCACTTCCCCCACGATATTGCCACGTGTATGGCCACAATGCACTGTCCCCTCCCCTTACCCTGTCCTTTCCATTTCACATCATCACATGGCACGCCCCCCTCCTTTTTTTTTTCTTTGAGCCCCGCGCCGTCCTGGTCGGCACGCCTCACGGTTCGACCCTCCGGCTCGGCCACCCTCACGGTCAGTTCCCCCCGCTCGGCACCCTGTGGTCGGCACGCCTAACGGTCGACCCCTCCCGCTCGGCCACCCTCACGGTCAGCTCCCCCTGCTCGGCCACCCTTGCGGTTGGCACGCCGGAATGGTCACCCCTCCCGCTCGGGCCACCCTTTGCGGTCGGCACGCCTAACGGTCGACCCCTCCGCATCGGCCACCCTCACGGCCAGCCCCCTGCTCGGCCACACCTCGGGTCGTCACGCCTAACGGTCGGGCCTCTCCCTCGGTTTGCACTTCTCTTCTTATTGCTATGTCCCTATCTTGGACTAAAGTTGGCACTCGGAAATGGGGGACCTACTGAGATGGATAGGCCCATAAGGCTTACAGCCCAACAAACAACCCAACCATCGCTTGGGACCCATAGCATAAACCCGGTTGGCAAAGCCCAGGACAGCTGGAGGCCATCTGGGCATGGAGGGCCAATGGACATTCGGGCACATGGCAGGTGGAACACAGGCCACATCAGCAGACAGAGATCTGCAGAGTTATTGCCACAACACATCACCATTAATGCAGCCCATCACAGCATTTATTACGACAACACCTCCCCGTCGGAACAAAGCCCCCTCACCCTGAACAAGGTAAGCTACGACACAGGCTTTCGGCGGAAGGGGGCACGTCGCAAGGGACAGTGAAATGATTACCAAAGGATATAAGCAAGAATCAAAGACAAGAGGAAGGTTAAACTTTTCTATCTCTCTCTCTCTCTATACTTTTCTCTCTTCCACTACTGATTTGCTCGCCGAAGGGTTCACTGGGGGACTACCCCGTTCCCCTTTGGACTTGCTTGCAGGTCATCTGGTGGAACCATCCACCTGAATCGGAACTTGAGGAGCTTGGACCAGCCCGACCCATCCACCTAGGACGAACTGCATCTTCAATTGCATAAATTAATATTGTCACTTATAAATTTCTAGGGTTGAGCAAAAAACTTTAAAAAATTATAAATTGGTCCAATTTAGACAAAATTGAATAGTTTAATTTGATTTTCTTAATGTATGATTCAGTTTTGATTTTTGAAATAAGTAAATTGTATTTTGCCATTTGATCTTGGTTTTATAGTTATAAATTCGGTTTGGATATATATATATATAAATATATATAACTTACGTATCGAAAGCACTTAAATAGCTTATTAATATCAAATATATATCTCCATTGTAACTTTTTACTCTTCCTAGTTTGGTTTTTCTATAGTGTAGAATTAGTTCTAAACAATTCTTAGGTTGTGAATAATATTTTTTTGATTATGTTTGGATGATGACAATGATTTTTAAAATAGTTTTCTAAACCGAACCCGAACGGGCAGTTTATTGGTTTGTTTGGTAAGCTCCAAGATTTTTATGATTTGATTTGGTTCTAAATTTTATGAAACTGTAAGTAATGATTTGATCTTAATTTATTCCTAAACTGTAATAACTCGCAATATGTATACTCCTAAAGCATGTGGGGCCCATAGTGGAGTCCGTTGTCATGGATCTAGACATCCGATTCAAGGCTGGTTTGAGAATTAATTATTTTAGTTAATTTTTTTGACTTTTTATGATTTTTTTTATAAAAAAAAAAGTAATAAAAATGACGTGATAACATATAGTTTTTTTTTTTTTTTTACTATTTTAATCTACTAAAATGATTCATTCCCCGAATTTGAGTTTGTCTAAATCGCCTTAATTTGTGCATGTTAATCGACTGCCCAGATGACAGGTGCAACCCTTGTTAACCGCAGTTGTCACTTTTATCAACCACATCTGTCACCTTTCTTGCTGAATGATCGATTTGACAATCGGCATACACAAATTCAAACGATTTGAACAAGTTAAAATTCGATAAATGTAACATTGCTCTTTAATCTATTGACAAAAAATGATAATCTCCAAGGGGAAGTTCTAGCCATTCAGTTGGCATGCTTTCTTGCTGATGTCCATAAGCTCCAAAAGTTGAGATTGAAAATGATAATCGCACGGTGATCCCTCCATGTGTTTCGGCAAAATGTCCCTCCCTGGTAAGTTGCTGTTATTATTCATGATAGGTGGGCATTGGCCTCTTTGCGTGAGCACCATCTCAGATGGAATCCTAAATCTTATAATAGGGTGGCGCATTGGCTTGCAAGGGCTGCTTGGCGAGGTTGCCTGGATCCCAATTGGGTGTTTTCTTCCCCAGATCCTTTAGCTGCCTTGTTAATTTATGATTCTTGTGCTTTGTAAGCCTTAGGGCGTTTTCTCCAATTCAAACAAAACAAAAAAAAATCTATTAACAAACAAAAGCTCAAATGAAATTCAATCAAAGAAGCATGTGGGCCCATAATGAGATATTGTGGATCCACATATTCTAATAAAATTTAAATTTGAAATATAATCGTCCATTGTTGTGGGACACCTAAAGACTTATACGTTTCATTTGTTTATCAAATCAAGTTGAATGGAATTATTCACCTAAAACAGATTAGATAGAATTAATGATACGATGCGATTGAATAATAGGATTATTAGTGTAATAGTATTAAGTTAGAAATGAAAGATAAATTGTATTTGTTTGTGTAATAGTATAATAATAATAGTTTGTTAAGATTAAATATTTAAAATTACGTAAAAATGTTTATTATGTAAAAAGTGATTTGAATTTTTTTTGGGGGGGGGGTTGTTTAAGTAAAAGACAAAACAACCATTTCACCTTTAATCTCATGAAATTGGATTTGAGCACTACCTTCCCGTAGGATTGCTCGTCTAATCCCATCTAATCATCTAATGACAGATTTCTACAAACTAACATCAATTTTGTAAAGCTCATGAGATTAGTAATCCTATCTCATGATATAGAAGAAGACAAACAGGGCCATCGAATTAGACTTGTCTAGTTCAAATTTTGTCAAAGAAGCATGTGGGCACACATTAGGGTTTAAGGTTGTAAATTAGCCGAATCAAGTCAAGTATGTTTAAATTTAATTTGAAAACTCAACGAGTTTCAAAATATATTTAAAATTGACTTATTTATATAATGAGACGATCTTGAACAAATTTTTAACGAATCGAAAATAAGTCGAACTCAAATAATTTGATTTTTTTATAACGTATATATAAACTTATTGAGCCAAATATTAAGATATTCAAGATTGGTTTAAAAATTTAACGAGTTAAAAAATGTGTTCAAGTTGCCTTATTTAAATGAATTGATCTCGAATAAGTCTTTAACAAGCCAAATATGAGTAATTTGATTCGATTAACAACCCTAGTGTCTAGTTCAACTAGATGTTTGGTTTAGTATTTAAAACTTGAATTTGAAAAAACTAAAAATTAATTTGGTGTCAAAAAATAAAAAATACTCATTATTTTCATATAATTTTTTTTGGAACAAAATAATTTTAAAAAATAAATAAAAATGAAATGTGCTTATTTTTTGTCAAATTAGTTTTTATTTTTCAAAATACTTCTAAAAATGAAATCACACAAAACTTGAAATTTTTTAGACTTTCGGTTGTTTGAGAACTTCCAAATAAATTACATTTTTTCACCCTTTTTTATTTTTATTTTTATTTTTATCTTTAGTGATTATGTTTTTAAAATTATGTCAATTTTTTTTTTATTTTTTTCGATCCGGCTTATTTAGGCAAATTTAAATATTTTTAACTTTTTTTTTTCTTTCTGTGTGTCTTTTCTAAAATTTTCATTTTATCTCATTGAATAGAATTTATAAATCTAATTTTTTTCAAAATTTTTTAAAAACAAAAAAAAAATCAACAAAAAATTAAAAACCCAAAACACTCACCAAGAAACAAGCGTGTGGTAAATGACAACACTACAAACTTAAACTTATAAATTTAAAATTTATTTTTAAAAAAATTAATAAATCAATTTTATTTATCACTCTCCACTTCATTAATTTAATTTTCTTCACGTAAACAAATTGAGAATAATTATGAGTTGATAACACTAAATTCATAGCATTTTGGGTAAATAACGTGACATAAATCTCCGATAAAATGCTACGTGTCAGTCCGACCAAATCATCCAGAGTTGTCCCACCCAAAACTCACGGCAATCCCATGCTATGCTAAATGGTAGCCCCACACCCACCTGTTCGAAACTGAAACACTAGAGAGAGACTCCTCTCTCTTTTGCGTTTCCTTTTGAATACTCTACTCCAAAACTCATACAATCCAATCCACAGATTGATTACATACACATACACATACACATACACATACACACCCACGCACACACATTACACTACAACTGCACACACAAACACAAACACAAACACAAACACAGAGAGAATCGCTTAACCATTTTCAGCTCCAAAAACCATTGATAGCCTAGCCTCTTCAATGCTTTACCTCTAAAATGTCAACCTCACAGAATCCCATTATTACCGACATAGAGTCCCGACAACCCCGCCGCCAACGACGCCGCCGCCACCGTCGCCGCCGCCGGCCTTCAGTCGCCGGAAGCGGTGAAACCACCACCGACGGCAGCCTCTGCTTCTCCGACTCCGACGCCGCCCATTCGTGGCACTCAACTGTGGGTTCCACCGCCGCTGGCTCATTCGACGAATGTGGGTTTCCGGAGATCGAGGGGGTTTTGGATCCTCACATTCACAAAGAGTCGCACGAAGTTGATTTGGAGAGTGGTGAATTGGAGATGAAGGTGCATTCGGGTAAGGAACAGAGAGACTGTAGAATTTGCCATCTGAGCTTGGTGGGTGATAATGCTGATCATGAAGCAGGGATCGCAATTGAACTGGGTTGTTCATGCAAGGGCGATTTGGCGGCTGCGCACAAGCATTGTGCCGAGACTTGGTTCAAGATCAAGGGCAACACGTGAGTTCAAATCATGAATTTCATATCTTTAGATTTTGATGCATTTTAGAAAAAAATTGAATACCCATTTTGGTTCTCTTCTCTGTGGTTTTATGCATTTTTGGCATTTTCTTGGTTTTCAAGTGTTTGAGATGGTGAATTCAGTACAAATTTTGATTTTCTGCTCACTTAATTTAGTTTATTTATGGTAATTTCTTGCAGTTCTGGAAAATTAGTGATTTGCACTTTTTTGTTCTTATCTACTTTTTAGTTACAAGTGCTTGCAAAGACAGATTCTGGGAGATTCCATCTGTATATTTGTTTTCTTCTGAGATTGTGTTTGTGATTGCTGCTGCTTGTATGTACTCATTTTCTGTTTTAATGCAATAGAGAATATATATATATATATATAATTTTTTTGCTAAGGTCTCATGCTTGTGAGGAATTTTGCAGAACCCATAGGTTGGTTATCTGCTTTTTCCAGCTACCGTGTTAAGCGATTATATAATGTTTTGAGTGTGGGTGATCGGTAATTCAATGTTGTTGCTTGTACTTGTTTGTGTGTTTCGTCTTGTGTCATAAGAATGTTGGAATTCTAGTTGCTTTTAGGATCTTGAAGTTTTGCAATTTTCTTGGCACCAAATCTCAATTTAAAATGGAGTGGAAGTGTCAAAATTTGAGTCTCTTTTGTCTTGTTTGGTTTCTTTGAAAGAATGAGTGAAAGGAGACATCATTTCTTACTTGATTTCCTATTATTTGTTTTCATCTTTCAGTACAATGAGCCTTCGTTATCCTACACTTTTGTTCTTCCTAATTGTCAATGCATTTCATTACTTGTTTCGGATTCTGGGTTTTCTGTTTTTTGGATGTTATAGAACCATATTTCACCTAAATTCAGTATATTGGACAGGGAAAATAATGGAAATTCCCTTTTCATTAGAAGCATGTTATAATGAGGAATGCTTATGTTGGGTGGTTGCTTTTGATGGAGGGGCATTTTCCTCTTCATTAGAAGCATGTTGTCAATTTTTTCTTTGCATTAAGGCATTGTATGTGGTTTGTGAGACAATTTCTTCACGGTAACTGGTCTTCATGCTTTGTTTTTTTGTTCAAACCAGCAATTGTGAGTTTGGTTATAAAACAAGTAAACATTTTATTTTCACGTGTCTTTGCAGTAGAGTACAAGCACATAACTACACAGTTCCCCCATTAAGGTGTTTGATGCATGGTTGACTTCAGTTCTGTTAACTGCACTGTTTCTTCCCAGCTTTTGCTCCTTTCATGTCATTTTCATCATTGTCCCTACACTTTTGCCATTTTATTGCCATATGGTATCAAATAGAACTGAACCACCCAATAACATACCAATGATGGATAAAAACAAAATGTGTGGTCACCACATGTTGCCTTGTATTTGATTGCAGATAATTTTAGCCTAAGAAGGCTTTTAATTGTACCCTGATGTGGGGTGAATTAGTTGAGAATGCGGGCTCCGAGCGATTGACTTGATTGCATCATGACCAAACATTGACTTTATGCACGACATAAGCAAATTTACTAATTTAGAAATTAACCTTACAGCTGCACATAGAATTCTATTCTCAAGATGTGTTGGGTACCTGTCTTTAATCATGTTTTATCAATGTGCATGTGTTTAAACTCAGTATTAGCAGGTAAAATTTATGTAATTTTTATCTTCTGTACTGTATTGCTCTTGCCATGACAAAAGATCACACTTGGAATTCATAGCTCACGTTTAATTGAAACAAGAATCATAATGGAATTCATCATAAATCATAACCGTTCATTGGGCTTTTGTTGAAGTTGGATTGCTTTGGAAAAATTGTAGATTCCTTATGATGATGGAATGTTTTGATATACCAAAGATATAGGAATAATTGAATGAGTGCACAGGTAAGAGGTTTTTGATTGAAGTCATCAAATTGTAGTGCATGGATTTTTATCTCCCTACCCTGTGCTGGGTCGTTTTCATGTTTTGTCTTGTTGCCCTTTTACGGATGGGTACTGATGTGGCATAGCTTTTCACAACTTCAAAATAATGTTGCCCATAATTGATTTTTTGGTGGATTCAGGTCAATGAAAAGGTTTAAGGTTTCAAAAGGTTGAAGATTGTGGGGTTTGTAGATGGAGTGGGTGGAAACCGTGGAATCTGACCTGATTTTAAAATGAGTAGGTGCTGGAATTTCACAGATTAAGTTGCTGGAAGTTGTGGACAGGTACTAATTATGGCATTAGGTGCTAATTTGAAGGCAAAGGGTAAGAGGAGAGTGGAAAATTGTTTAGAGCTTGGTAGGGCAGGGTTTGACAAAACAATGGCTGTTGGGTGCTTGTGAGCACTAATTTTGTGAATAGTAATTGAAGTGAACAGAAGAGAACAAGAATCATCATCTAAGAATCCTTCCTCGAGCTCTTTAGGAATTGCCCTTATACCGTGTTTGCGGAGGGAAAAGAAATAGGAAGGAAAAAGTGAATGGAATAGAAGCTAATTTTTTGTCACATCACGCTTTTCCTTTTTTTTTCCAAATCCCTCCTTAAATCTTGAATCCAAACACAGCCTTATAGAAAGATGATGTGCCTGTTTATTGGTTGCTAGGTTTTTGTTAGGACTACTAAGCCAAAAAACTAGTTCAAACAGTCTAGGCCTAGTGTGTAGTCCATCTTTAAGATCCAATATTAACTCAACCCATTATACAACCCATGGACCAAAACTATGGCCCTTGTCTAGGAAAAATTCAAAATTACCAAATTACCCAACTCCTAGAACATAATAAAGCATAAGAAGTTATACAGCAGCAGATGACTTGTACAAAGCATAGAATTTAAATCTGAAAAACCTTGAACTTCATTAAATGGCTTTTTAAGCTTGGTCAGAGCAAGATTTCAAAAATCTTTATTTTTTCTTCTCTGCATGCTTTACATCATTGATACTCACCCTACAAGTCATAACCAAACAAGCTGATTTTTTTTTTTTTAAATATTTTTTTTTTGTCTAAACCTTTCCAACTCTCTGCATGCTCCTCACAATGGGACACTGGTGAGATGGTTAGCAAGAGAAAACCAAGAACTCATGTTAAGAGGTTATAAGGACGTCTTACAAAATTCTAAAGTTTTAAGGACACCAATAATCTGTTATTGCTTTGAACTATAAGATCTTCAGGCTGCCACATCATTATCAGCATACAAAATTTTCTTGCTGCTGCTGCTGTATTTAAGGGGGGGAGGGTTTTGGTGATAATTCATGAGCAACTTATCTAGGAGAGGATACAAACTGAGCCTATAAAACCTCTCATATATGGGAATTTACATAGCTTTGAACTTCAAAGACATACATCTGAAACAAAATTTATATGAAATGAATATCTTATGACTGCTTGCTGGTTAAATAACATCCACTAGCACAATGGCTTTGAACTACTGAACTTGTTAAATAATGCATGATATCCTTAAAACCTGTTAAAGTATGGGAAATGGGTTGTAGCTACGAGTGCCACTAGTGTCTTGAGGTTAATATGGATAGTTAATGGACTCAGTTTGATCTGGGATTTGTTCCGTGTTCGGCACTTGTATCATACATGACGGGAGGTTATGCTATCCTTTGGCCAGCTAAACCCAATCACTAATACCGGTATTTTCAGTTTGACTTAAACTTATTTTTGTCTATTTTCCCCTCCTTTTATTTTTTATGATGGTGATAAGATACTAGTACCATCATTGACAACAGTAATGAGAATTTACCTGGAGATTTCCCTGTCATAGACGTATGCTCCATATCAAATGCATTGATTCCTTGTCTTATTTTTCTGTTCTTATTTTTATTGTTCATATGTTTCTCTTCTTATTGTATAATCTATATTATAACACACATTATCTGCAGAACCTGTGAGATTTGTGGGGCCACGGCACTTAATGTTGTTGCAGAGCAGACAAACGAGGCAAATGGTGCTACTGAAAATTCCACATCAGAACTGGCAGGTCCTGTGAATGTTGCTGAGACCCGAAATTTCTGGCATGGGCGCCGTGTCATGAACATCCTGCTTGCTTGCATGGTCTTTGCCTTTGTCATTTCTTGGCTCTTTCACTTCAATGTAATAACCTGAAAAAAAAGCCCATAGCAGAAGTACCCCCACATTTTTTCTTCACGCAGAGAGGGTATCTGTGTCTTAAGCCGTCTTATTTATAGAAGCATGTCTCGTCTCTGGGCCATTCTAGTGTAGTACGTGACATGTATTCTCATGTTATATTAGCTATATAAGTATCTATTGGCCATTCTAGTGCGTGACATGTCATATAATTGTTAGGATCTCCAAATTGTGGATGCACTAGTGTATAAAGAGAACCCCATAATTGATTTTTGGGTGATTCAGTTGTGCTCATTTGGATTGGATTGATATGTTATTTACTACATTTACATGTGTTGTAGAATGAAGTTTTAAATACATTAGAACTTCTTTTTTTATTTATCTATCTATGCTGGTTTTAGTTTCAAGGTTTGTTTTATTTTCACTTGATTTAAATCCCTAGCACTTCTTTATGCAGCTGTGTCTTATGATAGCTTCAATAGAAGAATATGAAGGATGAACCCTGTTTTATGAGGGAGCTGTTAGCTTCAATAGGAGATATGATGGATGACTCGAAATAGTGTTGTCTAGTATGTAGGATGCCATCAAAAGAGTATGTAAGCTTAAAAAACCAACCCAGATTTGCAATATTGTATACTTGAAACGCTTAGGCATCGGAAAGAACAAAATTAAACGGATCAATTCCTTTTGACTGGTACTTTCTTTCTAGCTTCCAGTTTCTTTTGGATTGCTAACCTGGTTCAATGATGCTGATGTAAGGAACCATTGGAAATTCATCAATCCCCTAAATGGGGGTGAATAGGACAAAGAATCCCAAATAGGGCTCATTTGGCTCTAAACAGTTGCTGGTCTTATTTGGTTAATCAGATACTTGGTTAGCTACTGACCTAACTCGGAGCTTTTCAGCCAGGGCTGTCAGATTTAGAGGTTCTTCTGCACACCCCAACAGAGTTCCATACTGAGTATTTCACCATTGCTAACCTAAGCTCAAGTCTAATATGGTCCAAAGAAATCCTTGAATTATTACGTTCAAGTACAACCAAAACGATTCATCAGTCACATTGTGAATGTTGATTAACTGGCATTATACTCCTACCTACTTGTATCTGCTCCGCATCTTAGCATTGGAGTACACAATCAAGTTCTGTGAGCCTTGGCGGTGCACTTTTAGCCAGCCTCATGCTAAACCTAAACTACCAAACTCCAAAGTTCCCAACACATCGCAAACCCTACAAACAGTTGATAAAATTAAATGAACAAGCCAAGTGGAATATGTATGTGTATGCACGAGTGCATGCACATTTTGTAGAGAAGGATTGCTGATCAAAATTTCATGTGAACTCGTTTTTGACAAGTTCATCATAAGATTTTGGAAAGACAGCTTTACTACCATAAATAATAAGGGGAACCGGCAAATCAAGTCAAATATCTACAGTTCCAAAACCACATTAATTCTCAAAAGAAACATGTGAAAGTGAGATGATGAGTCCAGTAATCTCTTTAATCGTCAGTGTCCATGGTTGCAAGAGCTAGCGCCTTTTTAAAATCAGCAACAGCCTGGTCAAAGGTGCTCCTGACATGCTGGCACACGAGCATCAGATCCTGGCAAGCATCTTTCAATACCTCACTCGCTGGATCACCTTTAAAATATCAAGCAGCAGGCACAACATAAATATGTAGATAAGTGGGAAAATAGGAAGTCACTATATATGGATTGCTAATTCAAAGACCAATTCTTAAAGGAACCAGATCAACAATAATGAGATTGTAGAGGGTTTTTCAAGGTAGGTTCAATGAAAGAATCGTTTTCATGAGGGTTGAATTAATGATAAAAGCAGAAACATTCTATTCTAAGAAAGATAGAGAAGATGATATACGAAGCAACAATCACAAGAATACTCTGGAGTAGGCATTAAATACCAAACATATTAGCTCAGAATCATCAAATAACTCAATCTACATAAAAAGTAAAACAAGCCAAGTTGGATAGAGAAGTTCTAGTGACATTAGCAGGATGTAAACGGCTTTTCTAAATCCATTATTTCTGTTATTTTTTCTTTTTCCTTCTGAAAAAAAAAAATAAAAAATTAGGATCAAGATGCATAAATAGATCCATTTTTTTTTTTTGGGTTGGTTTTAGCAATAGAGAAGGTTGGGATTGGATTTTAAGAGGAGTCATGCCAAGGGGAAAATGCTATTCAACATACTAGAACCCTTAATGTTGGTAGAGGAAGAAAAAGAAAAACAAAAGACAAGCTTTACCAGTTGTCTGGACTCTTATATTTACTCGAGCATCGGCAGGATGAGGAATGCTGTAGCCGCAGAAAGTCACTCTTGGACTGCATAATAGTATTTACATGAGCTAAGAAATTAATAAACAGAACCTCATCAACAACCCAATTAAATGAAGAAATTAAACACAAATAAATCTCCATGGTTACAGAAATACCCAAAAACTAATTAGGAACAAAAAAAATGAAATTGTTACTGACGAAATAAGCTATGAAAGGCCTTTTAAACTATCCATATAGGAGGCACACAATGAAACTGAGCTTCAAAAGCATCTGATTAGAACATGAAGATCAACTACAACAGTTCAAATACAAAAAAACTGTTTTTGAAACAGAGCATATAAACTAGGGCAGGCAATCACAAAAATCAGAGCTAGCATGATGTGCACAAATGATTTTGGAAACAACATAAACAGTTTATAACATGAAAGAATTAGAAGAGAACTAACTGACTCTTGATTAAGAGTGAATCTGACTGAATTTGCTAGTGTATGATCCTCATCAGCCAAAGAAAATGTCGATGCTGTTTGGTCCTGGAAAGACCCGTGCTCCATCAGCAAAAGCAATAATAATTCTGGGGAAAAAAGAGAATACAAAGTCAATCAACCAAAAAAAAAAAAAACAATATTGAATCTTTATCTACTATTATGCAATTTTCTCAATATCAACAAAAATAAAATAAAATTATGCAATTTTCTCAAACTTTCTAGGCTCTGCATTAACACAAATGTTCATAACTAAGCCTCAATTACTTATATGCATATGCATATATGTTGGATTGATGTGTGTGTGTGAAGAGAGAGAGAGAGAGAGATTGAGATTTACCTGTCTGTCAGTCGGCGTTGGCGGATTTTCGCTTTGGGGCAAAACCCTAATAAACCCTTTTTTTTCCTTTTCTTTTCTTTTCTTTTCTCGCTCGAGAAACAGTCAAAATTCATAATAACGACACATGACGGATGAGCCGGGTCAGACCCGGTTTATTAAAATATTTGTGAACCACGTTCCGGTTTATCGTTACTCCACACACACAAACCTAAAACCCTATTTCTCTCCGTGTATCGGCCATCATAAAATAACTAGGGTTTTGGATTTCGTCAGTGAATCTCTGTTTTTGGAGTTCAGATACAACTCTTTTTCCACTCTTGTTCTGAACCCACAGAGAGTAAGTTCGTTGACACCAATATCGTGTTTTATGTTTTTTGTGGATTGAATTGGAATTTTCTGCAAATTCTGTTTGGTATTTTTCTTTCCAAGATTCAGTGCTTTTCTTGTTGTTTCAGACTCTGATAAATATGGCTGCGAAGAACAATATACCAACCCCAGTAGACAGAGAACAGGTGTACTTAGAGCTTCCTTCATCAATATTCTTATGCATCAAAGTTTGTCTTTTTTTCATATTTTAAAAAAAAAAAAAGAGAGAGATTGTTTTGGAGGAGTTACATGGATCTGTTTTGTGCTTGGGGAAGTGATTTTTGTTGATTTGGGTTGATATTTTTATTATTATTTATTTTTAAATTCTGGGTTTGATATATATATATATATATATTTGTAAAGTTGAATTTCATTCTATTTGGGGCTTGATTAAACATTTGATTGTTAATGATATTGCAGATCTTTGGTATGGCAGAAAAGGAGATGGAGTATAGGGTTGAATTGTTCAACAAGTACGTTACCCAGTTTGTGATTTTCACTGCTTGCTCTGAACATTTTCTCTTTTTAATTTTCTGATGTAATTTTGTCTGGTGATTTCATATGAAGCTTAAGTATTGAAAGGCAACAGCCCCATGACAGAATGTGTAAAACTAGTTCATGTAGACAAAGCAATGCTTGTGTGAAACCCAAGACGAAACATTTGTTCAGAGTATCCAATATGCCATTTGATTTAGCTTAGCACACTTCGAAACAATGTCGCAAAAATATACTTATTTTCTTAAGAATGAATTATATCTAGTAAATGTTTTAGGGTGGAACCTTTATGTGCTATAAGACATTGAACTTGTAGGTTCACATGATGACGTAATTGTAATTGACAAAGCACCTACTTTCCCATTGACTAGCCATGGGAGAATATGGCATCTTTCAACTAATTATACTTCTTTTTTTCTTTTTTTCATTGGCAACTTTTCTTATGCTATGACTCGCGAACATTACAAAGTCAATCTATTTAAGTGCGCAAACTTTTTAAAATGGTAGTTGTCTTCCATGCTAGTTACTTGAATTTGTAATCTTTTATGGGGTTTTTAAACTACAATGCAATGTCTGAAATGAGTTGAACTTTGGATCTTAATCTTGAATTGATTTTGAGGCTAGCATTTCGCTTTTGCTAAAGCATGTGCTTCAACTTATCCTATATTTTAGGGCAATGTAATTGAAGTCTATAATGTTGCAAATGCACATTTTTATTATCAATGGTCAATTGATTCCTGCAATACATGTGAGGTTCCTTTTTTTTGATACTAGGTGTCCTAAATTAACCTGTTCTTGTAATTGTTCCAGGCTTACCCACACATGTTTCAATAAGTGCGTAGAGAAACGGTATGTTGATTTTTGGTTGTGTTTATTTTATGCATCTTGTGTTATGAATGAACTTAGACAATGTGGCTTCCTTTTCTTTTGTTGAGTAAAGGGTGTTGTAGAATGTGGAGAGCCTGGCTTCACATTCTGATGATTGAGAGAGTTGGTTCCCATTTTTGTAGTAGAAGTGTTGCTCATCTATTTTTTGTTTCGAGAGATATCAAGCTATGTTGTATTTCTTTTAGGTACAAGGAAGCAGAGCTAAACATGGGTGAAAATAGTTGCATCGATCGTTGTGTTTCAAAGTATTGGCAGGTAAACTACTTTTTTTTTTTTTGTCAAACTCCTTTTTTTTTTTTTTTTGTGTGCACTGAATTTCTGTTTGGTTGTAATTTTTGGCTTATAAAATAGATACAATGATTTTAGGTTGTGCTTCTATGACCAAAAAACAGTTGAAACAGCTTTTGTTATTCATTCCTTTGCACATCTCCTTGTTTCTCTCATTTTGTTATTTGTTTGTTTACAATTTATAAATTTACAATATAAACATTCCTCCTTTTTCAATCTTTTCCATTTCTTCAATGTATATGATGACATATTGATAGCACCTATCTGAGTTCTAATTGATCAACATGCTCAGAACTGATGCACTTCCCCCAATAATCTTTGAGTGACTTACCTTGTTCTTAATGATGGGTCTCGCTGCTACAAAAAGGCCTTCTTGAGTGAAATTTGTGGCTTTAGTTCATGGTAGTTGTTTGGTGAGATAGATCTTGGATTTTTTTTTCTTCCCTAAAGGTGGTGAATAGCTGTTGGATTCCTATAAGAGGCCAATGAGGTTGCCAACTCCTTACCCAAAAGAAGGGTTTGCTTGGCGAGGTTGCCGACTCCGTACCCAAGAAGGGTTTGCTTGGCCTACTACGTCTTTGGTGCAGCCATTGACCATGTTAATTGCTTAACTTTCTCCAGTCCCTTTGTTCCCCTTCTGAAGTATCTCTCATACTATTATCTCCGTTTTTTTGTCAAATAATATTTTCTGGTTTCATACCAAAAGAAAGAAAAATAAAAGGGATAAAAGGAAAATCTAGTTGACATAGTATTATTGTGTTTTTTTTTTTTTTTTCAGGTGACCAATCTCATTGGACAGCTGCTTGGTTCCAATCGGCCTCCAATGTGAATTTTTTTGCATACTAATCAAATTAAGCAATATTAGAAGATTGCTGCCAAAGAAAAGCAGGAGATTTTAGTTAATTACTTCGTTCCTGCCTTGGATACACGTACCTTAGTTGTTTTCATTTTGTTGTTAATGTATGACTTCAAATTAATGGGTTACTATTGCAAGATGTTGCTATGGGTTGGAATAAAATTGGCCATGAAATTCACAATACACAAAAATTGTTGGACCTGCTTGTACGTAAGGTGTAAATTGAAAATTTTGATTTCTCATCGTAGGGCTTATGCATTGGCTTCTTCAAGGAACGAAGAACCGAAGTTATGTCAAGATATGCCTTTTGGTTTTTCTCATGTTTCCATTCAATGCTGCTATCTTTTCTTGGAACTTCGTTTTATGATTAATGAAGTTCTTTTCCTTTGTCAAAAAATAATAAATAAAAAACCGTGTCATCACTGATTTGATTTGATTTGATTTCATCCCTTTTTCTTGTGTTTTTTGTCTCCAGCTTTATTTGTTTCATGTTGAGAAGCATATGAACAAAAGTTGAAAGACAAACAACCCTCACGTGCCACCAACATAATCGATCAAGTACAAATGTAGGAAGTACCAAACATAATTGCCATTCCTATAATTGCCATGCAAACTTAGCACAATGAATAAACCAAGAAAACTTTCTCCTCACAATCTCAAATTTGGGAACACAAATGAAATCCTTCAGACCACCAATAATATATGGATGCTACAATGAATCCTCTGGTGCTGCCGTCACTCAAAATGGCAAAGAGAAAAAGGAAAGTGATAGATACAAGGAGTATTCCTTAAGCGAAAAAAAAAAAAAGAAAAAAAAAAAGGAAAAAAAAGCCCCTATACACATTCAATTTCTGTTCCTTTTGGCGTCCAATAATGCGCCGTCTTTGAGTGTTTCCCGTGCATCGTTGTCCATCCCCAGATTAAAGAGAGCAGCAGCTTGAAGATAGAATGCAGTTGGCCAATCGGGAGATATTACCTGGGCTTGCATCGCATCTCCAAGAGCTTCTTGTGTCATATTGTTCATCAAATAACATAAGCAGCGTCTTGCAAACACTGTTGGTGATACCATTGTTCCCCCATCAATGAACTACGGAAGACAAACAGGGATAATTTAATACATCTTGCTAGAAAGACAAATCCAAGAGGGAACACTAGTTTCATGCTAATGAGTGTTATGACTGATTTTATGAAACTTCTTGCAGAATTAAAAGTTCAAAAAGGCAGAGAGGTAAAAGGCTTTCTCATTCCTCCATTAGCATGCAAATTTTCAACTATTGAGTGTGTTCGTACGCCTTTTGTGAGAAGAACATGGCTTGAATGTCGAGTCCCACCTTCCCAGATGATATAGTTTAGTATGTATTTCCATTTTTTAAGTCAATGGAGGGACATTCTTTTTTAACTTCTGCTTCCACAAAATTCAAAATTGTGGTGTAGTGATGTGTACCCTGGCTTCACTTGTTTGACGTAAAAGTTTTATGGTAATTATATGCTGTGGTTACAGATAAATGACTTACTTGTGTGTAAGATTCAATGGCAGTAGTGAAGTCTTTAGCTCGGAAAGCAGAATCCCCACGTTTCTTGGAATTAAAGGTTTCCTGTATTTGACCCGCCCACATTTGGAAAGAAAGCTGCAAAGGCAAACAAAATTCAACAAAAATTGCAATGAAGCAAGAGTGCCAAAGTAGAAAATGAGTTCCAGATCATTGAAAACTGCTGACATTGAGGCTAGTAATAAACAGTCAATACTTGGACTATTGTCGTATCACAATATATTTGTGATGCAGACCATAAAAAGATCAAGAAAAAGTAGAATTAAAGTTTTTTTTGAGTGTTTCTTTGCTTATTAGGTTAGAAAACTAAATAGCCAAACAGGCCCATCATTCGACGGGACAGATTTTGGGCGTGCGAAAGAAATCATGCTTGGACCTAAGTCCACTGAAGCATAATCCAAATACAGGCACAAGAGAATACTGGACAGTTCGAACCTGTATCTACATAAGACTGTGATGATGTGTGGATCATATCCATCATAGAATATGATGATGAGGATACTAATAAATCTAACATTCTCTCTTTGCAAGTCCATAAAAACCTAAATTGCTTCAATCTCTTAGCCTTCTTTGACAAGATAACAGCAGAGATGAAGCCAGAGCAGGAGCAGATGATAGACAGAGAGAGATGGAAGAAATGAAAATCACCTCCCTCCTAGACTTCATGAAGCCTATTTTTACTAAAATAACAATATTAAGAAGAAGAAAAAAACACTTCTGAAAAATGGGTTGTAAGAATGTGGAAAACAGCGATCTCTACTAACTACCGCTAACGGTCTTGCTTCACAATTTGGCATGGTCAAAATTCACTAGTTTAAAAACAGAATAAGTGTATTCTTTTGCAAATTATTGGGGTATCAACTCCCCACTTCAGATACAAAGACTGATGCTGTGACAAAGCTCAGTTCTTCCCCTCGTCGAAACTTCCAACAAAAAATTAATATAAAAACACCATAGTTGGTATACTATACACCAAAAGTTAGTTTTTTAGCATAATTTTAAAAAATTACAACAAATGATAGAGGTCTATTTGTCTATGCTTTTGTGTGTGCGCATACATCTGTTCGTCCTTCTTTTGGTTCTCTATGAACTAGAACATCAGATACATTATTTACATTTACTAACCTCATTTGCAACTCCCTCATCATCCTTGTATCCAGCATTCTCCAATATTTCATGTATGGCTGTTAGATCCACTCTTGAGCATGCTTCACCTAGAGGCGTTAATACTGATGTTGGTGTAGTGGATGCACTTTCATGAGGAATATCCATCAAAACATGGGACGGTACCTGCCAAATGCTACTGAATCAGTGACATCATAAATTTCTACATACACTATTCACTTGTATTAATGCCAATCAGCATCCCAACAGTAAGTCAGCTACTGACTAATGGTCAGTAGTATAATGTAGCAAATTCAACATATGTTATTAAATAGTTGGAAGTTTGCTTGCAGTTATGGGGCACACCTCAGTTTCTTTCTGAAGAGAAGCAAGGGCAATCACAAGAGACTTAGCATTTGGCCTCTCACGAGGTTCATACTGTAAACAACGTGAAGCTAGCCGCACCAATTCGGTTCCATCATCATTAGAGAAATGACCCTCCAAACAAGAGTCCATCAGCATCAGGAAATTCTTGCCACGTATCAGGTCAAGTGCCTACAAGACAGATAAAAATTATAAGAAAATTAGATTTACCATAGAAGCTGAAATTAAATAGATTCTGACCATTGGTGGAACCTGAAACTTCCTTTGGGAGTTTGATAGGGATAGTGAGAGTGAAGTTCAAATGAATTAAAATTCACTATATATGGACCTCAGCCAAATCCTGATGATCCCCAAAATTGGATACATCAACCATATAACATATTAGACATTCTTTCAATTAATTTTTTTTGGTATCTCAAAAGCTGAATTATTCTTTTGTGCATTTAATCTCCTACGAGATTATAGATCAATGTTTCCACAGGTTTTGCATTTTCTGAGGAAAGCAAATCTCATAGCTGTATATGGTGCCATGTACCCATGTATACATATTTGAAGCATTAACATAGGTACAAGCAGCAAACAATGGGAGTAAATACACTATTTTAGCTGGCTACAATCATTTTTTTTTTTGGATAAATTAGCTGGCTACAATCATTTTGAAGGATTAATTGTGAAAAAGAGTAAAATAATTAAGCACTAATACCACAAAATCATTATGATATTGGAACATATTTGCATGTTTTACGAATTAACTGTTGGTTATTCTGAAAATAAAAGAAAATTCCTCATATTCTACCTTGACATTATCAAATTTCTATTAAGCTATTGTTTTTAGCTAGCTCCATTTTTTTGATTTATTCTCTCCTCTCTATATTAAATGGAAGTCCATGACTCAAGGTTGACAGCCCTGATATGCACCTGCTGCTCAGCCTTATGGAAGTAATCCAGCAACTAGGCGGATGAGACAACAGATTAAGAGTTCCAGAGTCAACTAGGAAGAATGAGCACGAAAATCGTAGGATAGGAAATAGATAGCTTTTAACAAGCCATATATAAACCACCACCTAGGCTATTGGGTTACATGTGGCACAGCTGCCTAGCCTTTCACTAAAATTATTGAACGATCATAAATTCTGTCAAATTATGGCCTGTGAGACCAGCCAATTAATGTTTTATCTGTTGGGCCTTTCATAATCTTAATTCAATTTTGGGTCTGTATAAATTCCACCACAGCAGCCTAATATTGCCAGAAATTCAGCTTCCAAAGACAACAGTGACTGAAAGCATAATGCAGAATCTCCACTAAAGTCAGCGTACCAGTAATTTCAACTTAAACTCAGACAAGAAGCAACTTGTCAACGAGATCACTTAAAAGAGTAATTTAGCAAACTTCTGTAAGTGTCAATGGGGTAAGGGCTGTCGCTGTTAACACAATTTCTGCTACTGCAAAAAGGCACAAGTAGTTTTTTTTTTTTTGACGTCGCAAAATGGGAATGTGGAAGTTAAGGGCAGTACATGATCATGCAGAATTATGATTCCAGCCTAAGTTAATGTCGCAGTGCAAGAACTGCCACAGAATATCAAGATAAGTATCTGTGCAAATCTGTACTGAAAATTAATTTATGAGAAAAGGACAATTTACATGGCTTGGTGGAATATGTTTTCCACTGAGAAGATCAAGCAACAGGGTGCCAAAACTGTACACTACACTCTCTGACGTCACTTTACCTGAAAAATTCAAACAATTACATGATCAAAATTTAGCAAAAGAAAAATATGTCAATGTAGTTCTATCTATCAACTAATTTCAATACAAGTATAAGCTTCTTGCATACAGAAAATTTAGAATAGAAAAATTGAAACATTTACATATATAGCTAGGCTACAACAAATACACCTGTGCAGCCAACAAATCTAAATTCTGGAATGGAAACTCATGATGGAAACTGGTTGCTTTTTGTCAAAGTGGACTGAGAATATTAACATACAAAAACAAATACTTTGGGGCCATTCAACATTTTCCTTTCTTGTTCCATCGATTCATAGTAAGATGCAGGAGAATATAGTTGAAGCACTGTATTAATTTAAGTGAGATACACGTCATTTTTTATTGGTGTATCTCACCACAATCTCTTACATTAGCAAAATCAAACGTATGGCTGAAATAGACATGTGAAAAAATACAAGTCAAGTAAAATAGGAAACAAATATCAAGTTCCTAGTGTAAAGAAAATATTTATTCCATCTTAGTTTTAAGATACAACCCAACAAGGAAAGCATTAATTGCTCAAAGCTATTTACCATCATCACAATAGAAGCACAAATACCATGCCATCATGTTCCAATTCCACCATGTTAATTATCACCATTCAACACCATCATTACTGATCAACCACAATGGTTTTCAAGTTTGGAACATACACGATTTTCATATTTGTGCAACTTGCGATGATAGATCTTAAACATAATGGATCTAATGATCTTCATATGTGAAGAGGACCAAAAAGGACAAAGATTAGATACTAGATAAGCAGTTGACATACCTGTCCTCAAGTATTCTGGAGGAGTGAAAGCCAAGTTTGTGCTATAGCTCTTGCCGTCTCTGCTATTCTTCATTAGACCAAAGCATGAGAGCCTGGGATTACCATCCTGTCAAACACTTTCTCACCATAAGGACTACACTACAAAAGCTAGCTGACGATTTGAACAAGACAACAATAGGCAAAAATACCTGATCGAACAAAATTCTATAAGCATTGAGGTCATGATACAGTGCCCGGCCTTTACTGCTGCAGAAATCCAGTGCTTGTGATAAGTAGAAAGCCACTCGTAACCTCATTGCCCATTTCATGTGATTGGTCTCCCCTAAGCCAATTCAACCAACACAATTAATACTTAAGAAAAATCTTTTCTTTTGTTTCTGTGTGCTATAATAAGCTCCAAAACTAAACCCATGGGTCAAAAAATAATTTACCCTCCATTTGGCTGCTTGGAAAAGGAGGAAAAGAAGTGAAAATTTATCCTTACATTTTTGCTCTTTTAATTTCTAAAGAATGAGAAACCCAACTCAACAAAGTGAAACAGTTATATTCAGCTCAGTTGAGCACATCCTTCTCTTTCTAAGCTTCCAAAAAAAAGAATCCAATAGTCAATTTTCTTTCTTTCTTTTTTTCCTACTACTTCTTAGCAACCAAACAGAGCAAATGCAGAATACGTAGCCCCTTGCAGATAACATGACCTCAATAGAATGCTGGTATTGTTTAATAAAGCTTGGCATCAAACACATTGTTTTGCATTGCAATTTGTTCAGAAATAAAAAAAGCAACTTACAATGGAAAAGATGCTTTGAGAGAGTTTCGTGAGGCATGAACTCGGCAACAAGCAATCTCTCATTCCCTTCGCAACAACAACCGATCAAATTCGCCAACCGCTCACTCCTCAGCTCCCCCACCGATCTCGCTTCATCCTTAAAAAATCCAAATTACACCATTATCAGCATCAAAGCACGCACATTTAAAATCACAATCAAAATGAGCTAATTAACCATATAGAATTGGAATCAAAGCAGGATTAAAAGACCAGGAATTGGCGAGAATCGGGCCAGGCGGACTTATTGAACCGCTTAACAGCGATCCAAGTGCCATCTTCGAGCCTTCCTTTGTACACAATATTAGGAGCTTTCTCGCCGTGTTCCGACACAATATTGTCCGCCGAGAATCCTGAGGTCGCAGACCTAAGCTGATCCAATCTGTATTCTCTGAAACTAGGCGATGAGACCTGCTCACTCTCGTGCTCTGATCATAATCAAAAACAAAATCAACATTGCGATGAGATTGCAGAGAAGATCTGAAGATATTAGAGAGAGAAAGTGTTACGAGGTCGGAAGAATGAGGGATGTTGGATTTGAGATTGGAGGGCCACCAGCAGAGACCAAATTTGGAGCAGCGAGCTCCCATCGCCTGGAGATGGAAATTTTCTAGAGAGAGAAGGTGAAAGTGTGTCTCTTTTCTCTCTCTCTCTCTCTAACTATGAGGGTTTAGAAGGTTTCATTGGAGACTGGAGAGAAAGAAAAAAGAAAAAGACATTGAAAGCAAACAAAGGAATTGTTTATTCAGATAGAGATAGAGAGAGAGAGAGGAGGTGAGAGAGAGAAAAGAAGAGAGCCTTTTTGGATCCAAGGTTTCTTCTCTCTCTCCTCTCTGTATCTATCTATGTGTTTCTCTCTATCTATCTATCTGTCTATCTGTCTTCTTGTTCACGATTTCACGTTTTCAGCTCTAGAAAAAGCTTCCTCTGTGAAATGTGAATCTCTCTCCAGCGCATCATTCCCTCGTTTCTGCTTCTTTTTTTTCTTTTCTTTTTTCCTCTTTCTTTCTGTTTTTCTGTTTTTTTTGTGTGAATGTATTATCATCTTTTTTCTGGTTTTCTGTTGTCAAAAACAAGCTTAAACCATACCCACGCTCGTTGTCTCAGAGCGTGTGATGCATTCACAACAACCCACCCAAGGTGTCACGTGAGACAACTTTAATTAAAGCTTCTGCTTATCGCCAGTTGGTGATTCAAGACTGGATCCGTCCAGTCTCCACTGATAAAATCAACCGTAGTCTCCACTGATAAAATCAACCGTGTATATTTTAAAATAGGTAGCGGCTTTGGTCCAGTTTAAGATCGAATTGAATCGTATTGTTGGGTTTATGGAGGTTTATCACGGGTCTTATTTTGATAATTCGAATCGTTTAATGTGTAGAACTCGTCGAGTACTTGTGTGGGTGATTTTCTGACCACACTGCCCGCTTAGTAACCAGCTGGAGAGCACTAGCAGAATAGATGGCACCTGACGGACCTGCAACAGAAATATAAGAATCCCGCGGTGGTTTCGACCACCCGGGGGCACTCCGACGATCAAGTCAGTATATCTCTCAAAGATAAATCAAGTACTAAACTCACAAGCTTGAGTATCAAAAGCCTACCTTAGACCCATGGGGGTGCCTCTCTTTTATAGCCAATACAATCCTAGTCCCAATAGGAGCCTGGCCCTAATGGACTTAGGATTGCTGCTAATCTGGGACTCCCAGTGGGATAAGGATAAGCTCTCTAAGAGTTTTATCTTTACCCAAACTGAAGTCTTCTCCCAATCTAGGACTCTTGTCCATATTCAGGTTGAGTTCCCTCTTTGTTCTAGGACTCTTGTCCTTTATCCACTTATCTCGGATTCCGATATCCTCACCCTATATCATAAGAGATCCAAGATTACCTCGGCTTAACTACCAGGGCACGTGGCACCTCGGCTGACACGTCGGCGTCACCTTGCCACGTGTTGGTACTCAGAAAATATATCCCCACAATTTGTACTAGCACTATTTCGTTTTTTTTTTTTTTGTTTTATTGTTTAAACAATATACTTAGCTTTTACCTCAACCTGTAAATTGCTGCAAATTTCAACAGATGATCA